TAAAACGTGTACTCTTATTAATGACTTGATCGCCCAAAGTCATAAAACCCCCATTAGATTTATTACTACTAAAATTACACACCATGCCTTTAGTTTTAGATCTACTCAAACTAAAACCTTTAAACTTTAAGGTTAACATACATAATTCAAGTTTATATTCAGCTTCCTCTTTAGTCTTATCAACAAGAAAAATATCATCAGCAAAAGCATACACAAGGGTACATCCTCCTATAAATGTCTAGTAAAAACACCCATGAATAAACAAAAAGAAATGGGCTTAAAGCTTATCCTTAATGTAATCCAACTAAAAAAAAAAAAAAAAAAAAAAAAAAAAGCCATAAGCCCCAAACTAAATAAATTAACGGGCAACTCCTAATTTGAGCCGTAAGCCCCAAACTAAATAAATTAACGTGCAACTTCTAAGGAAGTAATAAGCCATAACCCAAATTAAATCAAACTAAAATCCACATCTAACCACTTCAGTCTACTCGGGATCCCTGAGAGGAGGCAACCCATGGCTGCTAATCAGATTCCCTGGACACTACGGTCAATGATTGTTAGTGTTGGTAGACTGAAATCTATGGTAAACCCGGGACGACGGAACCATGGGATCTTGATCGGGTTTACCTCCATTTCCCCTACTATTAAGACTAAAATTAACTAAAATTTATTTCATCCTTAATCGAGAGTTCTCTCTTACGTTGTAAGAGGGGTAATTAACTATGAGCGCTTGCGCTCATAGGAAGTAAGAACCCCAGATCTATAAACCCTGACACTACCCTCAGGGAAAATCTGGTTAATTTCAATCTGACATAAGGGAAATGGAATCCTAAGGTTGCAAAGCAGGATTCGTGCACTCGTGCCATTTTTCTTGAGCCCACACTATGAAAGCTATACATTTATTGAAATGTTTGATGTAGAAGTATAGAGAGAATAAAGAGTATCTACATATGATATTTATTTATTTAGAGAAAACATATGATAAAGTTCCAAGGGAATTGCAATAGAGAGTTCTAGAAAAGAAAGGGTTTAATATTGCTTATATTCATGTTATTAAGGATGTGGATGCAGGAGTTATTGCTTGTCAATATAGTTTGACTATGTATTTTCCTATTTTAGTTGGATTCTCAAGGATCAGCTTTAAGCCCATATCTTTTTTGCTTTAGTCATGGATGTTCTTAGTATACATTTACAAGAGGATTTACGCTTGTGTATGTTTTTTGTTGATGATATTCTTCTTATTGATAAGACTAGAGAGGGAGTTGAAGGTGAACTTGAATTATGGAAGTCAACCTTAGAGTTTTGACAAATGACAAATATGATTTTTAAATATAAAATTACTAGTCCAGCTAACATCTATTTGATGAGCATGAATGGAAAAAAAGAAAGATTGGAAAGGGAACTAACTATAAACTAGGCTTAAATGAAAGAGCTTTCAGAAGAAAATCATTTGCCTTTGTCATATTGGATAGTTTGCTTGATGAATTTAGTTCATTAAAACAGGGGACTAAAATTTTTGTTGAATACATTGGAAATTTGAAGAGTTGTTGTATTTTGTTATCATTGATGATTCAAAAGCCAAACTAAAGATTTTGGTTATGGTTTGAAACCTGATTTCAAAATAGAAATGGCATTGCTAACTTAAAGCAGTGGAATTTGGATTTATACATTCTCCTTGGACGATGGAATTTGGACCATTCTCCTTGAACAGTGAAATTTGGACATATCTCCTTTTTAGATATTTATTGTTGAGGAGGGTCTGATTCATCTACATTTCCTATAAGTTTGGTTAATGTATGGGTAATTTCAGCTTGTCTCTTGATTCAACGTTTCTTATGGGATGTATTATCATCGCGGGTTCTTAACCGGCGTATGTAGTCTTTGTGTAACCTCAGATTACTGAGAAGGTTTTGATTTATTTAGAGTTCACATTTCCTGCAAGTTTGTTTTATGTGTGGGGGGTTTCGATTTTATCTTTTGAGCCTACGTTTCCTATGGGATTTATTATCATTGGGGGCTCTTAACCTTGTTATGCAATCTTTGTGTGATTGGCATGCATTCACCTCAACTTGCTGTAGTCCACCTCGGATTTTAAAATAAAAGCCAAGCAATGGCTATTACTGCAGTCCATTTCCAATTTTTTTCTTAGCAAATTTTGAGATATACGTGCCTTTGGCTTTATTGAACTAAGAATGTGGCTTCGGCCTGTGGAGCAAATTTTGTTTGTGAGAATAACAATATCATCAATCTCTATTAAAATATAAGATACACGATTTTTTATAGAAGATTAAGCAATAGTGCCATCTTTGAAAAGAAAAACTCTGCCTGCCAAATTCAGCAAGAAAAAACCTCATGGCATTCTTCGTCGCAAACTCCATCTCATTGCTGTCTTGGACAATTATTGTAGAACTTCACTTGAACTCTATTGTCACCTCTGTCGTCTTTTTGGCAATCATAAAAGCTTTGAAAGTCTACCTATATGATTTGAATCCCATCGTAGTCGGGGTGGGCTTCATGCTAGTTGTTGTAGACGTTACTGCACTTGTTAGGATATTGGCTTATTAGATTAGGGGAGAGGATAAAGGAGAAGGATGGGTCGTCAATAGAAGAGGAGGGTTTAAGTATGGGGGGAGGTGAAGGATACGTTAGTTTGGAGGAATCACGGTAAACATGTCACATGAGGAAATGGGTGATACTGTCGTTTGCAGCTAGATAATGATTGCTTGAACATGAAATGCAAGCTATGTAGCTTGTGTTACTTGGTTACTCAAACTTAATCGGGCTAAAACGAACTAACCTCAAATAAGTATTAATAAGTAAAATTTAATTTTTTATTTAATCAAAAGTTAAATGTTTTGGGCTAACACAAGCCTAATAATGAATTATTCATTCAAAGCATGTCATATCTGACTCGGGCTAGCTCACTTGACTCATAAATGTAATTGCTCTAAAATTAGTAGAAATTTGAGCGCCTCCTTTTCTCCTGAATATCGATAAAAAAATATTTTCTCTAATCATTTGAAATTTTTAAGTTACAAATCATTTGAAAATGGAATTAATAGATATTATGATTCATAGGAAGTTAAATATTTTGTGCATTTAGGAAACTAAAGGGGTTGGTGAGAAGGCTAAGGAAATTGATAGTTTAGGATTTAAACTTTGATTTCATTGAAAACAAATTATGAGCCAAACCAGTGTAATGTGATCATGATGGAATAATGTGATTTAATCAAACTTAATGGTTTCGATGCTTGAATTTGACAATGCTGGGATGACTTGACCATTGGATTGGTCTTGAGCTTGAAGTCAGTGAAAAAACCAGTTTCGTACTGTTCGTACTGTTTTCATGAATTCCGGAAGAATTTTTATTGATATTCTTTGGCGTTTTGAGACAGATTTTCCTTGGAGTTTAGAGACATAACAAGAGATTGTTATGCCTAACTCTTGACTTGTTAGGTCATGATGGTGGTGGTATTTACATCTTAGATGCGTATAGGCTTATGATTATTTGTGCATGTTAAGATTTTTTTAACAGTGATTTGATGTATTTCAAACCCATACATCCTGTTTGGGCCTCTTTCCCACCAGTTCTTCTGTCTGACGAACAAAGAATTGTATACTCTTATCTATAGGAAACCAATGTCTATGTTAATTAAAATTGCACTTTACGCCTTATTCTTTATCTTTATTTTGTAGGGGAATTTGATACTTTCAGACGTTGGATTACCAGAGAAGCGAATCTACCATGCAGCGCTGAATGGTAATGGTCTACCTCGTGTTTTACATGAGAAAGATGATTGAAAACTCATCCCCTCATGGTGGTTAGTCTTTTTTGTTTAAGCGAAGATGGGCAATTATGCATGCTTGTGTTGTAAGTCCTTCATTAGCTGATCAGGACTGGCTTTCAAGCCTTAGATTCTATCTACGGGAACGATGTTCATAAGTTCTATTGTCAAGATTCTTGTACAGCTTGGTAAATTAATAGTGAACATAGTTGCGTCGAACATGAGCCATACAAACTCTGTCAACTTTTCTTACAATAAGATATTATTTGACTTCAGTACTGCTTGGCAAACTAAAGCATCTGTTTGGTCTTCCTGCAGGTTTATTTATTCAAAGCTAGTTCGGATTTGCGACCTGTAAATTCTCCTTATCTCATCTTCTAATTTAAAAAATTAGAAAATATAAAAGAATGCATTGGAATGGATGTTTCTTTCTTACATGCACTTAAAATCTCAATGCTCAGTATGCTCAAGGAATTCCTTAAAAACATGACCCATCAAGCATTTAGTGTGTCAATTACAATATGTACGCAACTGAAACAAAGGAAATGCGATTTTGTTGACTTAGTATGAGATTTTGGTTACAAAATTCTTTTAGCTTCGATGTTTCAACATAACAAATTCTGCAAGTTGTTACCTCTATTAGGGCAAAGATGTTTGATGCTTCGAAGAGGATTATGATGAAATGCAGTGCTTTTGAGAGAGGTGTGGCCTGATCTACTCTTTACATCTAAACTTTTGCATTTCGTACAATTTATTGCAAATAGATTTTTGTGATGAATGATCAATAGGAACGAGCATTTTCACTTTATTGAATTGGATAGACTAATTATTTTTAGCATTACCTGTGCTAATGGATGTAAATAAGCTCAATATTAAAATGGGCTTTAGCATAAACTTATGAAAATAAGACAACCAAAATATCAAGAAACGTTGATCTCTTTAACTTAGGAACCGTGAAATTAGAATCGAATAATGATGGCTTCATACCAAACTGCGAAAGATTTCTTTTCTCAGTCTATTCTTGACAATAGCAATTAAGACATGACAATTTAGACTTGTTATTTATTACAACGAATATTTAGCTAATGCTGTTAAAAAACTGCTTTTCTATCATTATAACCAAGAATAAATAATTATTTTAAGATTTTCATAGTTCTATAAGATTATATTAAAAGAAGCTATAATATTTTAGAATACATGAATTGTCTATCATTATTGCATGAATCTTTGTTAATGTCATACTTATTTTTATGATACAAGCCGGCCAAATAATAAGTATAAAAAATTGGAGAGATGAAGTTCCAAATCAGTATTTGGAAGTTACAAAAGTTTGGGGTTATAAAATTGGGAGGGATTTATAAATCTTGGAAAAAGGGAATTAAAACATTAATACGAGTGTTACATTAAGGCTTAGTTTAAGATGATTTTCTTACTGTTTCTTAAAGCAGATTTTTAGTACATAAATTTTAATTTTTGTATTAAAAAGTTACTTTTAGTAGTAAGAAAGCCGTCCTGGACAAAGAGCTTAAATCTCTATCCGGATCAGCAAGTATGATGTGGTAGGCCCTTTTAACTTTTTTTCCATTAATATTAAAAATTTTGTGATGCTTTTTTAAATTTATATAATGTTTACAAATAATTAAAGGATTTGAAAATGCGAGTTTATTTGTGAGATATTGAGAGTAGTTTGGTGACTTTGCCTTCTAGAAGGTTTATTGGTTTCTTTTATTATTTTTGTAGATTTATTTAAAATTATATCCGCAACCTCCTTATATTTTCTTTTGATGAACTAAACTCTCATACATCTATATATTTTCTCCATGAATATCACCATTTACCCTTACATGTGCTTGGCTTTCCACTCAGTGAATATCACCGTGTGTGAGAACAACTTATGCATAAAAACCATCATGCATTGTCATTAATAAGTGCATTTTTTGTACAAATTATAAAATTCATATTGTATTCAACTCTAACATGATGCATGAAGGGGTGATTGTACCAGCTTATCATGGTCTGTTAGTTGGGAGCTTTGACTATCAATTAAGAGGTCTTGAGTTTGAGTCTTGTGTATGCGATGTTTATGTGAATCTGCCTTAAGTGACCTAAATATCCCCAAAAAGAAAATAGGGTGAATGTTGCCCTTCTTTTTGTCCCAACTTATAATAATCACTAGCTAACTCTAGATCGTGCTCTTAGTGGAACTTTAAATTTAATACTAGGTGAAAATTTAGTGATGTTGTATAAGACCTATGCCTAGACTACTCTTGGCCTGAAAGGTTTGTTGACCAGTAAAACAAAAAAATATAAAAAAATGCTAATCTCACCTGCCCTCATCCCGCACGTCGTAGCCACGGCGTTCGCACGTCGGAGCCATTCCAACGTCCCTTCATCGCACGACTCCGCATCGTTAAGTAGTCGAGGAGTTCGGCCTCTCCCTTCTCTCGTTTTCACTCTCTCCCTCTCTCCCTGCTGCTCAACCTCACTCGTTTGACGACTTCCCCATCCCGTCGAGTCGGAAGTTACGCCATTTTTTGACAGAAACAACAACGGAAGCTCGCGGCTATGAAGATAACTTTCTCCTTTGCGTGGGTTTTCCTCCTCCTCCGTGGTCGACCGACTTCACTCCATTGGAGACCTTCCCTTCTTGAAGGATCAGAAGACAGAATGAGAGCTTGTTCTTGATGAAGTTAACTTTCTCCCTTCCGCTACTTCAGCCCTGTCGTGGCCGGTCAACTTCGCTCCTTCGACCGACTTTCCCTTCCTGTTTTGATCGGAAGCAAAGCGGAGCTCGCCG